TGAGATCAAACACTCTCTCATATGCTACAACAATGATACCACTGGGATTTAGGATCAAACACTCTCTCGTATGCTACAACAATGATACCACAGGGATTTGATATCAAACACTCTCTCGTATGCTACAACAATGATACCACTGGGACTTGAGATCAAACACTCTCTCGTATGCTACGACAATGATACCACAGGTATACATCTATGTCATCCAATGTGCTTCTCCATCACACATCCCGCAGTGGATATAACTTATACTAGCCACACACATACGCCAGAAGTTCTCTACCTTGGTTGAATGGTACCTCGAGACCGTAGCGTCCGGCATACAACTGCAACGGTAGCAGAAACTGCCCCGCCATACACCAGGTACCCAGTGGATTCTTAAGGTTATTGCTCATGAGATACCTGAAGAATGCTGGTGCTTCTTCAAAGTGCTTGGTTTTCCAGTCGGACATGCCCTGCGAGGTGAGGCAGAAACAACGCCTGTGAGTTATACAGTCAAGAGACTACTATTGTTGGGTGGACGGGACAAAACTGGATTCCCCATAGAGCTGTAAGGAGACCACTGACTGAATGGTGGTACCAGGAGTGTTTGGGTGCCATATTGCGGTATGCGGAAACTTTAAACCCTTGAACCTTATGTGTATGTGAATTGTGACCCGCTAATACCAGGGCGATGACACCTCTACCCCATCCATCCGAACGACGGGCCGGCAACCTGGCAGTTGCTAGTTCATAACATACCTCACCTCCGGCAACCCTACACACCATCCAAAAGTCATAGATGTACACATACACAAACGCTGGAGTGCCGTTCCTTCCCGAGATGTAACCTGAGTTCTACATTTGTACAAAGGACACTTTCAGGTGAAGCGTACTTGCCTGGCTGCGTCCTGTACCCGAGAGCAGCTTGTCCATAGTAAAAGACTTAAGCATAGCACCCGCAACCGGACTGTGACCAGCAAGAAAGAAATACCCCAGCATTCTTCGACACAACTTTGATGTAACTGTGTATACACAAATACCTGAATACTGTCTTTGCTCGCCCGTATGATCCACAATCGAACGACACACACACAGACGGGATTCATTCCCAATTCTGGCGTACCTGTTTGGCCGCTACCTGTATCAATGAAAAGGTCATCCACTCCACAGACCCAAACACAGCACCCGCAATTGGATTGTAACCAGCCCATAGAAAACTTCGGCCAAAGTTGTCCAACACCACATCCATAAACGCACCGAATTGCGATCTCTGGTCAAGGTGGCGTGCAGCGGCTCCATCTACAATGTCCAATACACTGAACACCAGATACGTGACCACCACAAGCCCTGAGACATGTTGGAGAAGATACTGGTACATTGGTGCGGAGTGATAGCAATAAGTCACATGGGATATGAAAAGATAACAATTAGGAGCAACGAGTGTCGATCAAATGATATGCTGATCACGCTTCGAAGTGTATCAGATCAGGTATTTCAATTGGGCAAGTCGCACTAGTGACTGATATTATCTGTACTCATGAAGCTAGAGGGTGGTACAGTAACATAAAACAAACCTAAATATAAATATCTAAATCCCCCTTCAGGAAGTGTTCGTATGCGAGTGATGCGTAACAGCAAAGAACAGACTTGGGCGCTCACATGTGCACAAGCAACCATACTGTAATAACTCACTGATCAGATCCTCTAGGCAATTTCGAATCTAGTTCCGCATACAGACACTCTGTAAAAGAGGAAATCCAACAATTGCATCACGCCATCCTATACAAGCATCGTATCCTCTGCCAGCTAAGTAGTATGTTAAAACTCATTTAAAAAGGAATTCTGTATATACGGCTAATGATGTAATAACGTGCACAATGTACGCCAGCTTACACAGTGCCTTCGATCAGAGATAGACAATCAAAGTACAGTAAGCTACTTCCTTATTTAGATTGTGCGTGTATAGAATTGTTAGCTTGTACTTCCATGTCAACGCTAACACATTTTTCCTTAACAGAGGCATTAACAAACTAAAGTATACAGACCCTACCAGGGCCGACTACCGTCATATATGCTTTCAGATTAGAACCCATTCAGCCGTGGGACCCTCTACTTATGCTAAAGTGTACAGGTGAGCATAGATATGAACAGATGTAATCTAGTAAACATCCGTTCAGAAACAGGTAGAAGAACCAATCACGGCCCAGTATGTAAAAACTTGCATGATGACTACTCACATTTTCGGTCCAACTCGTGGAAATAAAACATAAGGACCAGCAGGAGTATCCTTGCGTAGCCAATCAGGTTGGGAATAAACATCAGTATGTTCACCATGTCATCTCGAAGTATAGCAGAGGACCTACGTCGTCCCGCATTCTCCCCATTTATCGTGTCATTAATCTTCGTAGTCTTGCCGGAGGAGGCATGAGTTTTCGCTGACATATTTTGGGCAGACTATCTCACATCTGCGTGTTTCTTAAGACACCCCAACTTTGTGTATAGGCTGGAAACATGTGATCTCAGTAAACAGTATGTTCCAAGTATGTAAATAATATTGTTGTATTTGTACACAGGTAACAGAATTCATAATAAAAAAATCTCAAATTTGATGATAAATAAAGGCAATGATGTATTTTATTGAATACTATATTTACAATACTCTCCGCGTAAATGATATTCTAGATAATGTTCTATTTACATAATCAAATCAACATTTTTGAGTTTATTTAATCACACTGACCTAAAGAACACTGCACAAACTGATGAAAGCACGTATTTTAATAATTCATCCCTCTTCCTGTCTTCCAGTCTTCCTTTGGGACTTGAGAGAGGGTCATGTAAATAGGGTTTCACATGGTTTCGTGACTATATACACAGCCTTCCGAAAATAGAACAAGAAGGCTATGCTATATATGTGAAACATCATAACCGCCTAAAATACATGTGTGTAAAAAAAGGATAAATATACGCCTGCAGAAACTGCACCGCCGCATTTGCATACCATTTTTTTTACTTCTGTAGACAGACATCAGTGCCTGCCTAGGTGATCTGTTTCTCGCCTGTCCGATGGTACTGGTTAGCAAATCTTGGTACATCACTGTAGAAACTTTGCTGGCAGATAGAGTTGTCGCCTTGATTTTGAAGTATTGCTTGCCACTGCAACTATAATTTCGGTCTTTTTAGTCATATCGATAGGTTGTTCGATGCCATAGATATTCTGTTTATGTTGTAGAGGTATCGGTTATGTGGTGGAGATTTTTATGAATCAATATGCAGCGCACTATACTGTAGGGGAAAAGAAAAGAGCTTTCTCTGTACCAAAGTTAACCTTCAATCGCGAGCTGTGCGGGCTGGACTGTATCAATCGTCAATTCAACTTGCCGGGTCTACTGCCTGTAGGTGACAAACAAGATATATCAATACATATCACATTGTGTAGGCGTGGTTCGTTTTATCTCAGGCTTCTGTATTGTGTTTGTATAAGATATCTATCTCAGACATTATACTTTGATTTAGAAATGTGTACATTTTAAATCCATTTATATTCGTATATGTATAAATGTGT